ACAGGGAATTGGCCCTGTTGAGGTGGTGGTGTGGATGACATTGCCTCTACGCTTGCTTTGGTACTATTAACCATGCTCCCTTTTGGTTTACTCCACAGATATTATGTGGGAAAGAGATCCCCCGCTGGGTGAACCGCCTGGCCTACTTCAGCTCGTGCATCCCCTTCCTCCAGAGCTGCCTCCCCAAGGAATGGCTGACCCCAGCAGCCCTGCAGAGCCACATCAGCCTTGGTCTCCACAAGGAGGAACAAGGGGACACAACGGATGAGGAGTCCCCCTCCACCTCTGCAGCCCCCTCAGCCTCAGGCACATCACGAACCTGTAGACATACACGGGTCTAAACTGCCTAGTTTGCCCCCAGATAACATCCCTGCTCTCTTGTATTTATTTCTCACATCCTTTTGCATACATTGGTTTCTCTCTTCAACAGAAAACACAGGGGAGAGAAGACCCTTTCCGCTTCAGTCCCTTTTCCAAGGACTGCCACTACAGTTGCTTGGCAAAATGACTGTAAACCCCAACACAGAACTGAGGATCGTGGTGACTAAACTGTATTCACCTCCAGGGGCCTCCATGATCCTTGATCTACAGAGAACTGCTGACTCTCTCAGGCATGAGATCATGTGTATGGGCAGAGCGCACATACTGTGATGTTCCTTCTCTGGAACTGTTTTATCTTTTTATCTTTCCCTCACCCATTTAAGCCCAGCAGCCTCTTCTCTATTTTGACTGGGTTTTTGCTTCCCCAATGACAAATCACCTGACCACACCCAGTGAAGGAACCAGAGCCAGAACTCAACCTTCTCATCTCTTAGACCAGCAACAAACTCCACTAAGATCCATCCCTTTTGTAATTATCAGGTTTCTAAATCATGTGAAGGACAAATGAAAGGTGCTCCTGTTCTACAACCACCTGTTTTCAGTGCTCAAATTTAAGAGCGTAAATGATTGTCCTGCTCTTGAAAATAATAACAAAGAACCTCGAAAATGAATGTGTTACTGTGGCTTTTCTTTGGGGTCAAAAAGAGCATGGGGCTGTGGTGATTAGAGGCAGCTACTAAGTAGATGCAGAGGTGACTCAACCATATTGGTGCTTTTTGGCACAGATCCCTCTCAGTTTTCCTAATCCTAGGCAGTGTTCCTGGTTCCCCCTGCCCCTCCCCCCCCGCCCCCGATTCCCCAGGGAATCTCTCTCCTAGCTGATATTTGCTGGCTGTATTTGGGAAAATGGCCTTCCTGAGCACAAGGAAGAGGAGAGTGAATCTGTTTGGAAGGGCAGTATTTCCTTCAGGTTTTCCTCCTGTACTCACAGACATAAAAACATGGCTTCAGAGCCATCCCTCCCTGGCCTATTTTCAAGCCAACCCAAGAAGGTAAAAAACAAATGGTGAAGCCAAAGAATGTCAGCCTGTTCCTTTCTCCTCCCTTTTCGGAGGTAGAGGGGGAAACTTAGGGCCACATCTGGAAAGCACAAATGACCCTTCAATGCATGGGCCACCATGGTGCCTTCCACTGTGTGCACTATTTCAGTGGAATGAAAAATGGGCAGAGCTGGCTCATTGGCCTCTCCAAGCTGGCTCCTGACAAGAATCTAGTCCTTGGATGTATTTATGCTAATTCTGACAGCTGATGAGAAAGCACAGAATGAGAAAAGGACAAGTACACTAACTTTTCCACTCAATTACCTCACTAGGAATTCTAGTCAGAAGGTGTAGGAAAGAATGAAAGGGGAAATCCAGGTCCCCTCCCTCCCTTGCAACTTCTCTTGGCTACATAAAGGAGGATGAAAAAGGAACAGGCACTGTGTTGAGAGGGAGTTGCCATTTTAGAAATTGTGTTCTCAACAGCTACTACCAAGTCAGGACTTCCATCCTGAACTCAGAGGGAACTACAAGCCCTTAAGATGTTGGTTGTTTCCTTTTTTCAGTCACAAATGTATGATAAATCCAACCAGCTGTTTCTTTAGCTCAGGTATACAGGAGTGTGTGCTTTCAGGGCTGAAGGTCTCAGCTATGATGTGCATCATGTCTGCACAGACAACATTTAATGGTTTGTTATATGTGCATGCCCTTAGTGAAGCAGGAGGCTCTGGAGAGATCTACTGGATGGAAATGAAACTCACAGGATGGCCTCATTCCATTGCCTCCTGAAGTGATGTGTGTTTAGGCAACAACACCTTTAAAACATGCCTCTCATTTTCATCCTCTGTACAAACTGCTGCAAGTTCTGTACTGAACTAAAGTCATGTTCCTTACTAACCTTGGCTACCCACAGCCAATGCTGCATTGTGAGCAATTCTGCAGTTCCTGGTAACCAGTCCAATACCGATCTTGATTAGTATGCCTTGTCCAGCGATATTTAATGTGATTTCCATCATGATCTCCATGCCACTGCCCAGAAACCATATTGCACAATGTACCATTTCACTCTGTATTCCCCTGCAGTTGTGGTCATTGCAGCCTAAACCATTGCAGCATTGCAAGCTTCATTTGTCTGAAGTTCCCAGGGTTTCTGCCAACAGCCAGCAGCACATTATGTGCAATGAATTTTAAAGGTCCTTCTCTGGGGAAAGTGAGAAGAGGCTTTCCCAGAGCATTTGTCTAGGCCAGGGCAACTGCAGTCAGAAACACCTTGTTCCCTTTGCTGTGACCAGTCAGCAATCACCGTTGTGTTTCTGCTCTGCACCTTCAATGAAGCATCATGTATACATCTAGGAGATGGGCTCCAGAGTCACATTTCACACAGAAAACCCTCTCACAGTACTTCACAAAGTAAAAAATGCTTAACTGGATGAAAACCTGGACAAGAAAACCTACTTGGGAACATAAATATGTGCTTGAAATATTGGGAACAACATTTGGGGCAAGCTGTGAATGTCATAACAACACCCAGATGTTTGTTTACCCACTTTTATGTTTGTCTACCTGTTTATGACAATATGGGCCACATCAAGGAGGCATCAAACCTCTGCTGTAAATCAAACCCAGAATATATTCCAATCTTCAAAACTCTCTGTTCAAGGTGACTGATCAACCAATAATGAAAAGAACAAAGTGACACTGTGGAAATAAAATATATATTGATGATGGCTTTACCTCTGTAATTTAATAGCATTTTAGATTATTAAACAGTAAGACATTTTAACAACCTAATTTACTGTTCATCTCTGGCTCAGCATGTTTGTCTTAGGCTTTTTTATTATTCTTCCAATTATTACAAAATTGTTGTTATTACATAATTATATCATATTTGTATTTAATTACACATCTACTTTCTCTTGCTGCTTTCTCTGCATAACACCATGTAGAAAATTTTAAATATCAACAGCAGTTATCAATGAAAAAAAAACCACCGTATGAATCTTAACAAGAGCACCTCATAGCAGTGGAACAAACTCTTAACCCCTCTTCTTACAGCCAGGACTTTTGGTGTCTTTTTAGAAGCTGGGATTAGAGGGCACCAGTTCTACACATGGGCATCAGCAGCTGTGGGTTACGTCTCTAGTAGTGACCTAATAGTATTCAGGTGGGACACTGAGACTGGAGGTGAGGTTAGCCTAACTCTGGAATAATAAAGGTACAGAACAAACTGTTGCTAGGGAAGGCATAAAAGGAGGGAAGCAAGTAATAACCTCATTTCTCAGCATGTCTTTATCTATAGTAGCAACTCTCTTAATTTCATGACATTATTCTTTCTGGTCAGTTGTCTTCCTCTTCACAAGTCTGTGATTTGAGGCTTATTTTACTCAAACTCTTTAGAAGGGACACTTGTGCTTTCCGAGGCCCTGGGTGTGCAGGTTTCCCAGCACTGAGCCTGTGCTCTGTGATGAGTTCATCCCAGGCCCAGCACAGCGTGGGGATGGGCACTGACAGACCTGTTCTCCTGCTCTCGCTGCTCCCAGATGAGAGTTTGCATCTTGCATCTCTGGAATTCAGACCCATGCTGCCTTTGTGTTACTGAGGTACTCAAGAAATGGTCACTTCCTGCCATGCTGTTTTTTATTCTTCAGTTCTGTTTCTTTCTCTCTAGACTGGTAGGGCTCTCAGAACAAGTTAGTGGATATTAGATTGCAATAATATTAGCTTATCTTACTATATGTGTTTGATTTTATTCTTTAGTTTGTATATATGTGCTATCTAATTAACATGGTCAGAAAACTTTATTAAGTACCTCCACCACTTCCTGGAATAATGGAGAAAACCAAAGGAAGGGATCATCAATGTTCCATCTTCAAATGTTTTTAAATTACTCTTTGAGTTGAGGCAGCAGGTGCCTTGTATCCACTTTTTCCCTGCCCCGCATCCCATGCCATCAGCAATGACTTGGGATGTGAAAAGGCTGTGTAGTGATTCAGAAGTTGTAAAAGAGGACCTGACAGACTCCTATTTCCATCTGGTGATTGTCACAGGTTACCAGAACGGGGCAGAACCTCTGGCTACAATAATTTGTAAAAACATTGCAGCCTATGCCTGGGGAATGGCTGCTCTTGCCTGTAACAGGCCAGCGCTCCAACGCTGTGCGTGCGGCTGCAGCTGAGGCGTGTTGGGGCGGCTGGCACAGCACATTTCATTCCTGGCCATATGAAGGACTGTTGGCTCTAAATATCAGAGTAAGGAGGTTCACTAGCACGGTTGTAGCCAACTTTGTTTTTAAAAGGTTTTTTTGGTTCATTTTGACTGGGACAAGGGATTATAACGCAGAAAAACAGATGATCACGGTCGTCAATCTTCTTTGCTTAGGAAAGCAGGCTACAGAACGACAAGATGCAGCTCCTGCCTAGCCCTGCTCACTGTGCTCATCAACGAGCTGTGAAGGAAAGCGTCAGGGGGTGTGTGGGGTATGTGAGTGTCGGGGCGATGTGTGGAGGGAAGGGGGCCGGCCTGAGCCGCGGGCGCTGCCCCGCCGCCCGGGCCGCAGCGGAACCGGCGTGCCCGGCCGCGGTGCCGCGGCGGAGGCGCCGCTGTGGCAGCGGAGCCGCGTCCCGCCGGAAGCGCCGGGGCCGGGCCGGAGGCGGGAGGGCGGCGCCGGGCCCGTGGGGCGGGAGCGGGGGATGGAGAAGCTGCGGCGGCTGTGGAGGGGCCGCACGATGACCTTCGGGGTGCCCCTGCTGGTGAGCGGTGCGCGGGGAGGCCGCTGGCGGTGCCGGGGGCCGCGGCGGGCGGAGCTCCGCGGGCGGGCGCTCTGCTGCTGTCCCCTCCTCGGCAGCGGCTGTGCGGGGCGGAGAGGGGGCGGCGGGAGCCGTGTGCTGCCCGGAGCTCAGGGACACGGTTATAAAACATACTCCTCAAGATATTCCTAACTGGGAGCTGAGGAAAATGCATTTTGCGGGTGGTTTGGTTTTGTTTTGGGTCTGTTTTTTTTTCCTGTGAAGCACCACTTGTGTTTCTTGTCTTACTTTCTGTAGCTTTTCATTGGATTTTAAACTGCAGTGGTACTGCTGGTGTGATAATTTGTATATCTAAATAAGCGGAAAGATTTTGAGTGACGTGAATTGAGGTTATAGGTAGCAGCTGTGCTTAAAGTAATGAGTGAGGTGTAACTTTTTAGAGCAGTTGAGCTTAGGAGAGATCACTAATGTTGAAGGATTAAAACAAAATTATAAGTCTCTCTTACACACACTACCTCTATAGATAGTGCACATTAGGTTGCACTTCTCTGTCCTAAGCACCTGTGTTCGTTAGGGGGAAAATGAAAAAATGCAGAGGCACTTATGGATGAAAACTCGGGAAGGAAGACAACAGCAGCACCAAGGCCAGTGTGGTTTCTTTGTGCAGTTCATGTCTCCTTATCCATCTATACAGTTGGTTTGGAAAAAGTAAACAGACTTCAAGGTGGATAAAGAATAAGGCAAAGGATAATTCCAATTTTATAAAGCTACTAGAGAAATCAGTGCCATCTTCCTCAAATATTCAGCAGCATGCCTTGGAAAATGGAGTGGATCAAAGAAGGACATTGACACTTGTTAGAGTTAAAAAAGTTTAAGGCCATTATTTTAAAGAGATATTCTATAGTTCTGATGTTCTATAGTAAAGGTTACTGATGAAGTATCTTTTCCAGAAATATTGATGAAGGCATTTGTAAGAAATGGAAACAGTTAAGCCAAGCAGACCAACAAAACAGTGTGATAATACCACAACTACATGAAATCATTTGCATCAGCAGCTCTATTCCATGCTGTTGCACACAAGCTCTGCCTACAGCACCTTTCCTGAAGTGGTGATGCACAGTGTTACAGCTCGTCAGGTATCCTGCTTGCATGCTTGTGTACCTGAGAGGCTGTCCAGAACTGTGCTGCTTTCATGCTTAGACCAAATTTGTTTTGGTTTTGGATTTTTCATGTATGAGTGCTCTGACTATATTCTTCAGTTTAACAACACCTTGCTTAGATGTTAAAGGTTGGATATAGTTTTAGCTTATGGTGCTTTCGGTTATGTAATTATTTGAGGCTTGCTACTTCCAGAATTGGGGAAGATCAGGCAGTTTAGTATTCTCTGGTGCAATTTTAACTCTGTGGAAGGCCTGGGGAAAATACTATGTGATTAAATTATAGATACTTAGAGATGGTGACCTAGTGGAGGAAAAAAATCACCACTGCTTTTTAATAATTAGTGTATCAGATTAACTAGTAGTAGGTGAGGAGATTCAGCTGATACACAAGATTCTGATTTTGATAAAACTTTCTACATTATCTTCCCTGTAAGAATTTCATTTCAGAGAAATAGGGCAAAGATATGTTTCTTATCTTTTTAGTTCTCAAAAGGATTTAAAAGATACTATAAAATGTAGTTACCACATGCTTGCCAAATTAAAAGGTATCTTTGGAGGTAAGGTAGGTCCTGCAGACATAATGTGGGCTGTATTATTGTGAAAAAACAGAAGTGTCATTACAAGATGGAGGAACTTGTCAAAAGCAGAGTGAAAAACATGAAACAGGATTCTTCCTGTGTACTCAGTCCTCAGCTGGAGTTACTTTTTAGCTCTGTGGTGCCATTCTGCCACGGTGCCGTGTGGAGGTGATGAAGACGAACTGTAAAGTCTAGAGGAAAGCAACATAAAAGGTTAAGCTGACATTCTACCTTTAAGGAATGCTTGAAGGAATTGGCTTAGTTTATTTTAGACAAGTCTGCAAAGTTCTGTACATTTGTACACTGAGAGTAGTGGTTGCCTTTCATCACTTGGGAAAGTACCCCCAAGAGAGATGATGGTGTGTTAGGAAAATACTGGTGTTTTTTGGCAAAGAGCACTCTGATATGTAACTAGGGGTTTTAAGGTGAGCTTGAACAACCAGCTGGCAGCAATGGCATAGATTGTCTCAGTTCTGCTTCGGCACTGGGGCCAGGACCAGCATCCCAGGCCAGGCCTGTGGTTGTACTTTTGGCCATCCCCAGTGTTTTTGCAAGGTTTTCCATAGGTCATAGCAGGAATTTTTGAGACTGGTTTCTTTGACTTTGTACTGCCTGATTTCATTCTGTTCCTGTTGCGACAGAGCTCTTTCCTCCAGACACAATATTGTATAGAGAAATATTCTATTATATTGCTTTCCAGGGTTTCATGTCTCCCTGCCTTAAAATTATTCTTCCTTGTGAATACTTCAGAGTGTTTCTGACTTGCTGCCCAAAGGCTTCCCGGGGAGTAAGGAAAAGGAAAATTCATGCAATTGTCAGTTACCCAGCTGTCTATGGAGCTCTGAAGGCACCTCTTAAGCTGAACAGAATTGTGCTAAAAGATCAATTACAGCAAAAATGACAGTGAATCTAGGCAAAGAATCAGGAGCACGCTTTTGCAATCCTTTCAATTCTGCTGAATTTGTTAATAATACTGAAACCAAAGGTTTCTGTTAGATTATTACATTCTGTACATAATTTTCTTCTCTCTAGACTGATGCAGGACTATTCTTCAGTACTGCTGAACTTTTCATCAGTACCATGTTTGCTTTTTTGATTTGAATAAAAAATCTCTGTTTCAAAATCGCTAAGGCTCCAAGGTCAAAGAAATCCTAATTCAAAGAAAATGGGTGTCTCATCATCCACCCCCCAAAACATATCTGTATAAGATTTCTTACTTTTTAGTGTAAGTTATCCTGATAGTTTTTTATTTGTTCATTTGGTCTTGGGGCTGCTAGAATATTTCAGTGGAGTAGGAATTTTCATGGTTAGTCTTTAAACTTCATACTGACACTAGTTTTCAGAGTAAGATGTGTAAATCACAGTTTTCAGTGGTACTTTCTCAGTAGCTGAAAAAAGTGTTTCTTTGTGAGCAACAACAAAACTGTAGGGGCTAGGACTCGAACTTGCAGGAGACATTGCTTTGTGAATTTTTCTGTAACTTTATAAAATTTGCAGATATAGTATCTCTGTGTGGCATGAACAGTAAGCATGCTGGAGACAGTGATGTAACCTGGTATGGAATGTCTCAGCAGCTTGAATGTGATCAAGTGAGTAATCCCAAAGCATTTCTGAAGGTGGTACCATCTGTGTAGATGTTGGGATGAGCTCCAGCAGCCTTACAGGTGTATCTGAAATTTGCTGTTGCAGTAGAGGGCTGTGCCACCTCTGTGGTAACTTAAACATCTTTGTCACCTATAATGACATCTCTGTTTGCTATTTTGATTACAGGAACTCTTTCCTAATCACATAAAGTTTAACTTACAAGTCTTCAGCATTCATGGCTCTGTTATAAAAGGAGAGCTTCAGTTTCTGCTGCTTTATATTCCACAATCAACTCCACCTGAGCAAAAGGGATGTGTCTGTCAATGTCATATTGCTGCAGTGATGCTTCTGTAAGATCCTGAGAGAGCAAGGCTCCTTGGCTTCCTGCTGGTGCATCCAGCATCACACCTTCCTTATGGGACACTCAACATGTAAGGTCACCTCTCTGGTACATTTGGAATATTTGAAGTCTGCTGGAAGTTAATTTTTTTCCAACAGGTTTAAATGATGGCTCTGTATCATTAAGGAAACAAGTCTGGATTTCAAAATTGCAAAGTAGTGACAAATGTAAAACACGTGTTAAAACCCCCCCTATTCTTTCATATGCTCACAGCACTTCCCAAGACTTGCCTTTGTGGTTGTGTCTCCACCTGATTCTAGGCAAGGATTTTTCAAACTCTCCAAGTTGCAAAATGAATGTATAGATGCAGTTCCAGTTCTGTCAGTATGTTACAAGGGAAAAAATTATGTTCTGAGTATCTGAAGTGACATTCTAGCAGAAGGAAAATATAGTCTATGGTTCATTTGATGATTTTTATTGCACACCTAAAATAAGTATATCACACTGTGTGTATAGTAATGCAGATTTTCAGATTTGCACTATGTTACAACATTCTCCATACCTATTGCTGTAGATTTTGACTTCCTTTTCCTGGGGTTTTGTGGGGTTTTCCCCCTCATCCTGTAATGACTGCTTTTACAAGTACTTTGCTTCTCCTTGTGGATCTTGTCTTTGGTGTTTTACATGTCGTGTCTAGTATTGCCAAAGCAGGAGGTACAGGCAGCTTGGAGCAGTGAAAGATTTTACTATGAATGAATATGATTCTAAAATCTCTTTCCACTAGTGATTATTGGTACAGACTGTACTACATCTACGCTGCTGCCTTGGACAGTGCAAGTTTCCTTCCATAAACACTTTGTCAAGGGATGCCAAGAATGCATATCACGTACAGGACTAGGAAAAAGGTCAGGTTAGATCAAGTCCCTAACAATGCTGCAGCAATGTGGTCAGTGCTTCTAGGCACTATTAGAGAAGGTCAGTGGCATCTCAGGCTCTTGTTCATGAGCCAGTTGTTTTGACAAACAAAAGCAAAACAACTTTTCCAGATATCAGGATGTGAAATTACATGATTAGTTTTGTTCACTGCTGTCAAGTCACGGTCATCTGGGAGCAAGGACTGATGCCCAGAAATGTTTTGCAGATATATGAAATTATATTTTGCTGTTCTGTGAGTTACTTAAAGTGAAAGTTTGCAGGGTTAATGGGTTAAATTTTCATAGATTTCTTAAAATTCAACATTTCTTAATTTAATTAAGAATTAAGGTTAATTTAATAAAAAACTGCTCAGTTTGGAGGCCTGGAGTGTGCTAAATACAAGGCACACTTTTCCCCCCAGATTCT